CGGGAATCACGGAGTCTAGGAGGCTGAAATTTTACGGTAATGGCCCTCTGCCCACGCTCAACCTTGTCCATTCAAATTCAGCGTTCTCGCGCTCTCGGGTACCACCTACGGCTTCGTGAAAATTTTGGCGGATAAACTATTAATTCGGGAATCACGGAGAAGTATCCATTCTTCAAGGTTTCGAATTCACCTTTCACGCCCTGGTGCGTGAAATTTTTAACTGTTGTCCAATGTTTGAACTATTTTTGCATAGACTAAATACAAAGAAATGAAAATCATTAATAGGCAATCGTTCGATGGCCTGAATTGCACAAAACGCATGATCACACCGGCTAGTCTGGTGCGTGTTACTGTTTACTGGGACTGGGGATCGTACATGCGTGAAGATTAAAGCTCCGGAAATTTTAGCCCTGCAGCATTTGTAGGTTTCCTTATCAATATGCGCTTCTGCATTGTATAGATACAAAAAACGCATAAGAAAGAGTGCAAGGATTTTAGTAATGACAGTTAAGTGAAGTAATAACAATTCTGACAGTTGAAGAAAGAAACCGAAGGAAGATGAAAAAGGACGTAGTGCTTACCCTTTGAATCGGTGCTTTTCTCCGAGGAGTTAAGGTCATTCCGTGATATCTTCACAGTTTCATCACTGAAACAGTGAAATGATAAAAACTCTAATAAAAAAGTGATGCCTCAAAAATTAAAATAATTCAATTCAAGAAGCCGAAAATAACCCGTCGCTGGATTCAATCGGTCGCTTCCAGGGTCTTTCTCGCGTCTTTGGCAGTTCCTCCACTACTGCTTTTCCACGAGTCTGTAAATTCATTAGTTACAAAAAGGAAGAATTTTACTTATCTAAGATGCAGTTTGCTCGATCCATACCCATCGAACACTCAGATAAAAAAATTGAACTAAACGTCCCAATGGAGTAGGATTTGGCCAGCTATGAACTGTGTAAAACGGAAAAGCCATGAGTTGTATCGGTAAGGGGGGCAGAAGCATAAGAACCAGACGACAGCTGTCTCGAGTGTCGATTTAATTTAGGATCTACTGAATGCTCCGACTGCAAACGCTTACCGATACAGGCAACGGGAGTTCCCGTTTCCGCTCTCTTTTTTCTTCACTTCGTGTTATCTCCTTCTCTTTTCTTGACGTCCTTGCCTCAGGATCTTTAATTTCACCCTTAAATTAAGTAATTAATCACAACTGACAATGGAAAATCATCAGGCCTGGCTCCTTCATACAGTCGCATTTTACACTGCGCGATGCAAAAGGCTTATATCTCTTTCCGACAATAGTGAAAACCACTGTTGTAGAAGATAACAGAGGCAGATTTTTAAAAACAACAGGTTCCGGCAAGAACGCTATCAAAATAACAACAAGCCAAAATTAACGAGACACAAAGAATATCAAGACCGCTTAGAAAATCAGTGTGGGGATCCAAAGTTAGTAGTATTATTAATGTCAGGAATAGCTGTGCCAGGTCTTTCGGCTATGAGCTGCGTAAAACCAGTGCGCCCCATCGCTTACCCGATACATTTGCGCCGCATCTTCGGGTGCCAGCCATAGCAAGTAGCACCTTACTTCCTCGTCCGTACCGCTCATTAATGTACGACATTCAGCGATTATAAACAAGGCAAGCAGCAAGTTCTGCGCGTCGGACATTATTGTTTCGTGCAGTCGTAGTAATATTCTGCAGGTTTTTCATTTGGTGGAGAGCCTGTCCCTTACACGACCACAAAGAGATAAATCAATCAACATTCGCTTTATCACTCTCTCCGTCAGGGCTAGCGCTGACTCTTTTATGTTCGGCAGTGACCACGTTTTGCATCTCTACGATACTGCTTTCAGGAAACTGATCTTTAGCAGAAGGACATGGTCATTCAGGCTCAACATTCTGAGAACCTCGACAATGCCATGAACCGGCTCTACATATCTTCCACTGTGAAATTACAGTCAACTACCAGTACTCTACGTGCAATCTTCAGCTGGAGACTGTTGCGCATATTTACTTCCTAGATGAGTTAGTGGGCTGTCAGTTTGTTTCAAGTCAAACTTTCTATCTATAAAATAGCCGCGGAAACACCAGCACTTTGCAACACCTCCGTTTTCGATTCATTAATTAACTAGCTCACTTTCCTTCCTTTATTTTTCTGAGCTCCTGCAGTATCTTATTGTGCCTCGCGAGGATTGTTCAACTATGACATTTGCGAAACGCTGGTGATTTAGCTACTCTTCACTGACTCGGGACCACGTTTCCAATCCAATTTCTGAAATACCATCCCAAAACAAGCTGTGAGAAGTTTGATGATACGGAGTCGCCCTGCCTCAATCCACCCTTGATTGTGTACGAACTGGAATGGGGAAAAGTGTTGCATCTATCGAGCAGCTTGTTCCCTTAACAATTACCAGATAGTTTTCAATCAATTCTCCATTTACAAGAGCTCGTAGCACTCAGTTTTGCGTTACTGTTTTTTCACAACTGAAGAATAAGAGGCAAATATGTAGTTAGCAAGCTTTCACTTTTTTTTTTTCCAACAGCGGTTCACCCATCATGCTGTATTTACTTGGGAATTCAGCTTACTTTCG